TTACATTACTTAGCTAAGGATAAGACTTCACACTGGTTTTAAACTGCTTGTTTCTTCCCATTGGTGTAGATGAGGCGCTATGTTACATCTTCAGTAGCATGTTTATTAAGTACATGCTATAGAAGAGATGGGTTTCATTTGTCTTGGCAGAGTGGGGTTAGTAGCCCCACAAATGGGAGTTAAGAATTACCATGGAGGCAAGCCTAAGCAAGAGAGGTCTCTTGATACGGCATTAGTGGGTATCAAACCCCTTGTTCTCTTTAAAAAACATCCTTATTGAATGACTTCCTTGGTCCATAGCAAGTGTTTAACAGAGAAGAACATGTGGGTGAGGATTTGTTGTGCTGAGCATCAGAGCTCGTGTGAAGACACATTTTGGTTCTTAAGGTCATACTTCTCCCCAAAGTGTGTCTCAGGATTCCACCAGCACTGTGCTGGATGGGCTGGTGGCAATCGAAAGGAAGCTGGTTGGAAAGTCAAAGGTGATGGGTTTTGAAGAAGTATGTTGAACTTTAAATCTGTTTTAGTGGAAATGAAAATGTTTACCATTATCATATAAAATTATATTAAAAGTTAAGATCAAGAGGAATCCAAATAGTCATTTTTGAAACTTAGTTGGAAAAGAATGAGAATAATTGCTTGATTTTGAAGGTGCTGAAGAAACAGGTTTCAGTTTTTGCCATAGACTGAAGTCTGGGCATTGATTTAATACCTGTGAGAAGGACCAAATCTGAAGAGTAACTCTTGCCAAATAGCCAAGTATCCCCTTTTATCTTTCAGAGCAGAGCTCAGATTTCTGTTGCAGGTTTCTGCAGAGAAGTGTTCCTTGAACTGCTCTGTTTTCTTTGGATATCTGCAGCAGTGCTGATCCACTCCAGAGAGCTTGGCGGCCTTTCACTGTAAACTAACAGGAGCAAAGATGTTTATTGATGTCAAGGGAAAGGTATTTTAGTGCTGCTTCAGGTGGTAGGCAGCAGATGTGAAAGAAATGGATTCAGGAGTTCTGGAAACATGAAGAGTACTTCAGGGAAAATCATTGCCACAGCCCAGTGGAGTGGACAAACTCATAGAATAGTTATATTTTATTATTACTTCTTTCTCAGCTTTGAAGCTGAGAATTGATCAGGAGCTCAGTTCAGAGGGATAGCTACCCCAGTACAGTTATTGTAAAGACATCCAAGGCTTTAAATTCAGTAACCTTGAAGAAGACTTTTTCTGATGGCTCTGGAACAATTGCTCTTAGAGTAAGAGGGAAGGTTCAAGTTAGCAGCTGCATTTCCAGAGATGCAACATGTGGAAGGTTAACTTTCTCCTATGTGAAATAAAAACCATCCTCCTTTTTGTAGGTAATCTTCTCTTTTCTCTGTTTGGGAAAGCAGCTCAGTGTTTTAGCTGTTGTGGTCAGGCACACCACAAGCAGCCTGAATAAACAGACTGTTTGGAATAGGGTCAGAAAGCCTTATAATGATGCCAAACCTTTCCGCTCTGACTGTACCAGTGCCCCTGCACCACAAAAAGACCTTACCCACTGCACTTGCCTGGCTGCTTCCCAGAGTGTATTCATTATATTTGTAGGCAGGTGAAGCACTACTTGTTCCTGATCTGCTTGAGAAGCTGCTGGGAAAGAGAAGAGCAGGGGGTGGACAGTGAATTGGTCTAGCTGCGCTGAGCTCATGGTCCCACAGGGGTTGATGTCTTGCATCTGCACTATAAAAGCAGTACCAAAATGGATTTCTGGATCCATTCCTCGATAGAAAGTGGACACAGAAAATTGTTTCCCATCAGCAGTTCTTAGAGCGCTTGCCTTAAAGTGATGTTGCTGTGCAGGCTGACTGAAGCCTGGCAATGAAAATGGAACTGAGCAAGCAAACACACTCAGCCCAGCATTTATTTTTCTTCAATAGAAGGTAGAATCTAATTGTCTGTGAATTAAGCTGTTTCCTGGATGTGATACAACCTGTAAGTGATCACCTTTTGACCCAGCTTTGCTGTTCTGATGCTGGGTTGCAGTTGTCAGAGTAACCACTGTGCTCTTAAATGGGTCATTTTCTTCCTGCTCTCACATATTCAGTTCTGTCCACCGGGGGCCTGGCTTTCAGGGGCTTCAAACTGTATTTCTCAAGGGGTGCTTTTAGTGCCTTAGATACTATGTCACACAACTTGTCTCCCTGGATAACTTTACTGCCTGTTGAAATGCAACTGACTGAAGTCCCTAAAGCTGCAACCACAAGTTTTAATCTTTCAGGCATGATTCTACATGCCATTTCTTTTATTTGCCTGCAAGTGCAGAGTTGTTGTGCGTACTTTATTTTTCAAAAGCTCTCACAAATGTTTTAATCCTTTCATTTCTACTATTTGATCTAGCTTCATCTGAACTTGGTATGCTGCCTTCCAAAAGCTAAATTCCTCTGTGATTCTTATAATCCTTATTTCCTCAGTTTATTCACTCATTGCTGGATCTTTAAGTTCGTTAATAGTTTGCAGGTTTGGGATGAAGTAGACAAGGCTATAGGGCATCTCAACAAAGATACCTGTTTCCATCTTGTGTTTCTCAGGTAAGCTTGCTACACTCTGCTCTGCTGTCTCAAGACTCACCTAAGGGATAAGAGGAGAAATAAGGATATGTATTTACACTGGATAGGTGCCATAAGTGCTTATAGACACCAGTGAAATGGCAGAACCTTGCCCAAGGCCTTTATAGCCTGGATTAAACATAAAGACAGTTTAATCTTAATGCCACTTGGCCTTCAGCAAGCCACTGCTGGAGTCAGAGCCACCAGTGGTTGTATGTTATGGTATGGCTGTACCCAATGAGAGCACCTACTTCCTAAGGGCCATAATCTGGCCTTTAGAAGATTGTGACACACAGGAATCAAGTAATCTAGAGGTGAAAGGCTGTTTGCTACTACTTAAACCTTTCTTTTCTGATGACTTCAATAGGCTTTGGAATTTCAAGACGTTTTCACCCTCTTCTCTCCCCCTGACTCCTTAGCAGGCAACCGCATCACTTTTCCTTTAAGTTTCACAGCAGCCCGACCACAAAGGAATTATTTCATCTTCAGTGTGTGTGATGTGCACAGCACAGAGATTCCTTATGCCTTTGTCTTTTAACCCTGTATGGCATTTGTGCCACTATGAAAGAAAGCTTTTCTCACACCCTTTCCTTGTAAAACAGTCAAGTCATACGGATTGGGATCTTTGCCTCTCATTTACTATGGATTCAGTAGCCATACTTGAAGATAATGAAGGCTAAAGTAGTTCCTTTAATATAAGATGCTAATGAGTGTTCCTTGGTGCAAGTTTAGTGGGGTAGATGTAAAACAGGAGGAGGCACTTTTGTAAGTATTTATGGCACAGTTACAGAGGGTATGCAGAAAACATACAGTATCTGCAGGTCAGAAGGGAACAAGTCTATCTATGGATCATTATAATAAGGTATTATTCATAAAGGCATCAGAGTACTAGTGCAAGGATCTCAAAAAAACCAAACCCCAAACTGTTACTTCAATCATAGCATCATCTATTTGGAGAAGTTCTGGATAGCAGTGCTGAGAAGTCCTAAAATAACTGGTTACAAATAGAGTGGGGCAGTGATTTCATGAGATATGGGAAATCCTGAGTCCGCTTTTAGAGAGGCTCCTGTCCTTACTTTGATTGCTCTGATCAGAGCTTTCTGCAAACAGTTTGTCACCTAGCTTTTTCAGTTCAGTTACTGTTAACTCATAACATACTTCCTGCCTTGTTTTCTCCTGGTGTGACCACTGCAATATTGTTCTAGAAATGAAGGACAGATTATTTCCCTTCGAAAATTGGAGTGACCTTCAACTTTCCTTGCTCTCTGCCTTTATTTTAGGGAGAATGGAGGAAATGTTGGTATTCCCTGTGAATTGTTACAGCTGGCTGGTTTACTGCTGCTTTGGTTAGGGATTTTTCTCCTATTTTGCAGAGGTGAACCTCATTACTAGTAGTTCTTATATGATCAATTCAGATTCTTCTTTGTGTCTCACTCAGTGGTTGTGACTGCTGATTTCCAATCTTAGATAAAAACCTTACATTTTATATTTAGTATTCGGTCCATTAAGAGGAGCCCATCTCCTTTTGTTTGGTTCTGGACTTAAAAACTTCCATAACCACATGCATCTGGTGATGATTATGTTTCTCCTCCTAGCAAAGTGTGTATATTCTTACAGCTAGCAAATGCCCCTCTGGAGCATGGTATTGATCTCCAGGATGTGCAAATCAGAAGCTGATCAGCAGAACTCTTGTCCATGCTGCAGCTCTGCCAGCCAGTACCTTGGTGATAGTATAAATGAGTATTTACTTCTTAAGTTGTGCCTAGATGGCTATGGGAGTCAGTGTCTGTTCCAGAGAATTAGCAGTGGATGTTTGTAACCAGCTGCACAGCTTGAAACATATGAAGGAGAATTAAATACAAATAAATGTGAGGATTACATCTAAATAGCAAACTGTTCTCTGGAAATAGGTTAAGTTTAGAGCCTGAAGACCGTTAGCTTTAAGGGAAAGAGGGGCTCTTCATCTTCCATTGAGACTGTGATTGTAGCTAGAGGTTTGAATTGCTGCACTACAGAAAAATGATTTTTATCTCCTCAATTCAGGGTTAATCAATTATTTGAATTCTTAAACACCCCAGAAGCAAACCCAAATCCCTTTCTGCATTTCTTCTGGAGTCAGTATTTTCCAGGGTTACCAATTAATTTGCATTTTTCTGTGCTATAAAGCTAATTTCCCCTGTGTTCTACTCTATTTTTATCTGTTCACTATTAATCCAGCTGATTGCCAAGTCAGTAGAATCAGGTGTGAAGGTAAACTTCACACTGTCAGCATTGGTTACAAAGCCAATGATCTTGTACTGTAAAGTAACCTCAGTCCTGAGCTGATTTCCCCCCACCCCATGTCTCTTACATTGTCAACACCCTAAAGTAGCATTGCCTGTTCTTTAAGATTAATTTTCATCCTATTTTCTTTCAGAGACGTCTGTCAGCAGCACACCCCTGTGACCTGCCCCAACTACTGAACCGAAGACCTTTTTTCCTATGAACTATGTAGGTACCAAGTATCAAAGTAATTAATTTTTGGCTAACAAAAGAGTTTTTGGGAAAGGCTGCCCCAGTTTATTCTCAGTTCATCCTTGATGACATTAGGAAGAAGCAACTGTTAGATTTCAGATCTTTGGCTAGCACCTGCAAGGGCAGCTAAAAGTTTCTGATCATATTGTACTAGCTATATGGAGGCTGGAACGTATATTCTAAGATTTGATCACAGTAGTTTGCACTTGAAATCAATGGAGAGAATGTACAAACCCTCACTTCGTTTACCTTCACATTTTTATACCTCGGATGGTCAGAAGGCTGAAGAGTGCTCTGGAAGCCTGTTGAAACTATCCTGTGCTAATGGTGCCAGCTTCACAGACACACAAATGATCAGATTTTACAAGAGAAGTCAATGTCAGAATTTAAAAACTCAGTAATAGCACATGGCTGAAGCTCTGAGCACTCCAAAACAGGAATAGGGATTTATGAGCTGTTGTGTAATAAAAGTGGAATGGTATAAATAAACTATCTGCAAAGCTGTTATGGAGCTTTGGGTGTGCTGCTTTGTGATGCAGATGCTGTTTAGGCAGGACCAGGAGTAGCACAGTTCATCTCTGTACCTGTAGCTTTATTTATTTCAAATTAGGCGTAAAAACCCCAAACCCACTTGGTTCTCTGAATAAGGAGCATTAGGAAGAGGTTATGCACTTTCCAGGTGATTGGCTTTGCATACATTCGTACAGCCCAGTGTGCAGAGACGGAAATAAATGCCCTTGTTTTAAAAATACCTGTAAAAAACTCAAGATGGAGGATCCAATGCAAATTCTGTGAAGGGGAAAAAAGCAGCTTATGGTGCAAGTAAAGCTACATGGCTGTGAGTAACCATGGAGACCAATGCTTTTCTGCTGCAGAAATAAATGAACTCAACCTTTTCATATTTATTAGTGGGGCTGATGATGAAAGATACAGTCAAATTAAAACATAAAGCACTAGAAGTCAGATGTAGTCACTGTCTCTGCCCCTGCAATGCAGGTTACTGTAATGGATTATTATAAACGAGCTGGTGTTACAGTGAGGCAGATAAGTTATGAGAGGAACAGAAGACACTAGTTATACCAACCTGTTAATCCAAGTAGCGGCTGCTTTATTAACAGAAATGAAGAGACGGTTCACACAACAAACTCCTGAAATCTTTTGGTTTTGATAAAAATGGAAATAAACTTGTTTTAATGCCACAGCGGTGTATGAAATATATGTACAAGACAACGGTAAAGTGTTTACTGTATTAGTGGATATTTGCAAGCTACTGATTTCTTGGTGGTAAGAATTAGAGAATTTTCCTATAAAAATACTGAGGGAACGTTCAGATTTCTGTCTTGAAAATGCAAGTCAAAGGGTCAAATATTAATTGGCAAGTTCTTGCTACCAAAATATTGCTGCTGAACAGAGGATGGCAGCATTAAATGTCACTTGAACTTGCAGTAGGTTAAAAGCTTGTGAAATAAAATTTCAGTGCAGGTATGTCTGCAGCATCACGTAAAAAGGTTTTGAGTAGAAGTCCCAGTGCAGCTCAAGGGTTAAGTCACAACACCCAAAGGGAAAGGCAGGGATCAAGTGTGACTTTAGTGTATGATGTACCAGATAGAAAACTAGGAGTTTAGCTAAAGCCATCTGTCTGTCCCTGCTGGAGAAAAACTGTTTAGTTTGGAGAGAAGCACATTGGCTGTAGCATGCTTCAAAGGGGGGGGGGGGGGGGAATGGAAAGAAAGAGTGTGCTAGAAGGGAGCATGTACTTGTTGAACCACTGCATCTCAGCTGCAGATCAGTGCAATGAGCCTCCAAGCAGCAGGTAGCACAAGGAACACCCATAGCAATAAAGCATCATATAAAATGCAGCTACCCTTAATGATCTCTGACTGTCCTTGGCACTCTCGGGTATTCCTCAAAAGCCAAATTACAGGTCACACCAGCTCAGAAAGCTGGTTCTTTTTGTTGTACAAAGCTGTCTTCTGTCTAGAAATGATATCTATGCTGATATCCTACAACTTCATTCTCAACTGTTACAACCTTTATATTTTAGATAGCGTATTTAAAACAGAACCCACACTTCACTTTGCTTCAATTCAAACTGCCTGAAAGAAATTCTTCAGAGAAGAGTCAATGGTCTTTGTGCTGGCCAAAGCCTGGACTGACTCATGCATTCAGGGTCTCCCACTGAATATAGAGGAATGTAAATGTCAGCTTGAGCTGGCTCCTCTGCAAGCACAGCTGGCACGTTTCTGGAGCTCTGCTACAGAACTTTAATAATGTATATAAAAATTGGTAACTTCCATCTCATAAAATTATAATGGTGCAGTACATTACGATTACACAAACTGGGTTTAAGGTTCCTTCCATTTTATTGGGCCATTTACCTCTTCTGCTTTTTGACTTGCACAAAAATGTGTGGTTAGACCCCAATGTAGACAGGAATTCAGTGCAGACAGGAATTCTTGCCTAGGCTAAAATCCAGGTTAAGAGTAACTTGTTTAAAATACTAGAAGGGTTAGGCCAAAACTGAAACTAACCATCCTCAATCCTTCTTGATACTCCTGGTATGACAGACTGGTTTTGTACAAGATCTTTAATTAAATCACTACATAAAATAGTATTTCATATCATAGAATTTTCTGGCAAATGAAGCACTTCTAGAGTTCATATTTACTTCTAGAGTCTTACTATTTACAGAAGCTCAGAATTCAGAAACTTATTACCTGTTGTTCACTAATACTAAATAAGCCACTAAATAATACCTGATAGGTATTGAGACAAATATGACTCAGTTACAAGATAATAAGCAGTGAGCAAAAGAGCTGGGTAACAGATAAAGGCACTGCCATTAAACTGTTGGAGTTTTTTGTTACTTATTCATTCATTCAACTAAAGTTTTTTAGAACTGCATTTGTAAAAGCTCTTAAAGCCTCCACAAAATGATACAAAACACCCTGAAATGTCTTCAGTTTTCAGGCAGTAGCCTCCTGTGACCTAGAGCAGCCTACAGAGCGAGAAAGGAACATAACCAAGTTTTCTTAGAAAGGAATAACCTCTTCTAGAACTTGGAAGTGCCTGGGTTTGCTGGGAAAAGGATTACCAACCCATCAGCATCTGTAAGTGGTAGTTAACAGACTCTTGCTTGACTCACTGAAAAGTTATTTCCAATGAAATGGAAAGCCTCCTAACATGAATTGAGGCTCAAGTTTTCTTTTAAAGAAGATAAAAAAGCCCACAAGGAGCTCTTCTGCTCATGTAGAATGCAGAAGTATTTTTCCTGTATTAGTCTTAAAACGTATCTTCTACCACTTGCATAGCTGGGAGCCAGTCCAACTTCCACTCCTCTGAGTTAAGAAAGTAGAACGAAAGTATGCATCCCTTCTGTGAAGGGGAAAAGAACAAAGCAAACCTAATTTTCATCTTCACCTACTGGTAGCTGCTTTCAGTCATCACTTCAAACACAGAACGAGCTCACCACCACCCAGAAATGCTCATTCCAAAGAGGAGCAGCAGCACAAGTGAGCTGCAGAACATGGGACCATACACATTTTCTCATCTTTGCATTATACTGGCTCATTTGTTGTACAGGTGGGAATACAGCTTATACCCACCAGAGACTGCTAAATGTCTTCTCAACATCTCTGGGAAATTGTTTTGCTGTTTAAAATGTTTAAAGTTGAAGAACAGACAACGACATTAATAAAACTTTCACAGGTCATTTTAGCTCTTTTAAAATATCCCAAGTAGGTTCTCTGATCCTGATGAGACGTGCCTGAAGCAAACTCATTGCTGTTCATTAAGGACAGTTTCTTGTTCTCCTCACAATTTAGATCCCTTCAGGATTACTATCTTGATAAGCTTCTGGTTGCACAGCTGCCTTACACTGCACACTTGCCAAAATGGTTTGACCAAACCCACCCCCAATTTGTAACACACTCATTTCCTAAGTATTCAGGTTACTTTTTCTTCAAAGGCAAGACAAGTCTGTAACATGCAAGGCATGCTCAGTCATGTTTAAAGGGCAAGTATTCAAATACCTCTGCAATCATTTCACCTCCCTACATAGTGCTTCAGAGAGGCACAATTCTAGGTAACGTTTTAATAGGTGAAAGGGATGAAAAATGCAAGTAATTCATAGACCTTGTTTCCCCAGGCTGCAGAACAAGCAAATCACTACAATCCTGTTTATAAATTAGTATTCTGTAACACTGACTAGTAAAGACAAATTCAACCAAAGATGGTTTTGTAGGATTTTCAACATCCTTGAAGGAGATCAGTCTATTCCATAAGGAAGTGCTGAGCACAAAATCCCCCCCCCCCAGCAGAGCTGTGCAGCACTTTGGGGAACAAAAGGGGAGAGAAAAAAAAAACCAAAAAAGGAATGAATGCAGCATTTGCATGTAATAAAGCAAATATTTACATTAAGCACAATACAGCAATTTATTTAGATGCTTAAATGAAGAATACAAAGGGAAATAAAGATCACAAAATTATACATACTACAACAGTGTGTCATATATTAGATGGTATAAATGAATACAACACCTTGCTGGTGTTAACTAAAGATAAAACTAAATATCCAAAACACAGCACTTTTGTTTCAGTGTGCTGCTTCAACACAATACACTTTTATACAGATCTAAAAGGTGTCAAAATTAGTAGCTGCAAACTTGTTTCTTGCATGTGATTTTTCTTTTTTAGCTTAAAAGATTTCAGAAAATGGCTCTGAAATACGTTTGTCATCAGTTGTAATGTCAAGGATATTCAGAACAAGAAAATTCTATAATACAATAGAGTCCAGATATATTTTCTTATGTTGCTGGCCTCTGTTTTGAGATTGTACAAGGTTATGTGCAAAAACTAAGTTTGTCAAAATTCATACTATAGCAGTTTCAAGCTTTTGCTAGGTAAACTAGATACAGCATTTATTACACAGCAGGGCAACACTAAAAAAGAGAAACAAATCTATGATGGGTACACAAGAACAATTTCATAAGCTTCACTTGAATAGGTCTAAAAGACTGTACAAATATACATTTCAACTATTCAGAATGATACATGAAAAAAATCAATTCCCCCATAGTCTACTATACACGTTGAACTGGTAGCTTGTATGGCTGGCCCTACACTACCATGTGAAAAAGGGTAATGTTTAAAAAGACATACAACTGAACATGTACAAGAGTGAAATAAATGTTGAAAATGCAGATAAAATAAACCTCTGCTTTTCTCTGTGTGCATTCTGGAGCCACCAGCTTATCCATTTTCACATTAAGTTACTGTGCTCATCCCAGCAGGTTTTCTCAAGCCAGATCAGCCAACAGCGTCCTTAAATAACCACTGGAACAGCAGTGGCCACAACCACCACATGCCATGACCTAGCACTCGAAAGGCAGTACCAGTTAAAACGTAAGCTTAGCAGTCAGACTGAAATGAAAGTGTTTCAACAGTTGTAGACTGGACCTTGTTACTGATGCTTCTGAACCGAGCAGCTCATGCTTGCTGGCTGCTCAGCTCCACACCGGTTAAGCTGCTGTGCATTGGCTCTGCTACTCCATCAGTCACACTGTCAAACTGCTCTCCATCCTCACTGTCAATTGTGCTATTCTGCCATTCCATCTGCTGATTTGACAAGCTCTCCTCAATCTCTGATGCGCTTTTCCACTGCGACTGGTCCTTAGACCAAAACTCTTCTACTTTTCCATAGGAACGATTCTTCCACTTTGACTGTTCTTCCTCACTTTCAGATCCACCCCCCTTTGTCTCAACAGCTGGTTTACTGCTACTTGCATCTTCACTTTGGGAGGATTCATCTGTCCACACCTCTGGCTTTACTTCTGATGTATTATCTTCAAAATCAGAAACCTGCTGAGAACCAGGCCCACTTTCAGATTGTGAAGCTCCATCTTTCCATTCAACAGCATCATCTTGATCATCCTGATCACCGTCGCTATCTGAGACATCACCTACCAGTTTTGTTGGCTCTTCAGCAGAAATAATCTCTTCGTATTTAGAGCTTTCCTCTTGTTTTTGATCAGACTTTTCTGGAGACTGTAATGTATTTTCTTCTATGATTTCCTTGGAGGATATGCTGTCCTCTGGGTTCTCCGCTGTGCTATCAGAAGAGGTTTTCCCACCACTGTCGGAAATATGCTGACCAAACGGACTCCCACTTTCATTGTATTCCTCTTCTATATTTTCATAG